TGTGAATGTAATAAGTTAAGGCCAGATAAAGAGCTTCACTAATAAAAAAAAAAAAGCTAGAGTTCATCACTGCCAAACCAGAATTATATGAATTGCTGAAGGGTGTTCTTTCGGAAGAGAAAGTAAATAAAGATAAAAACTATGAACAACAAATACGTAACTATCAACAAGTGAATCTAAAAACCAAGGGAATTAAAAAAAAATCTGATGAACAATATTAACTGGTGAATATAATAGAATCAGAGGTATGGAAGGGGGAGTGAACTGACGATTCTTGGGGAAAAGGGAAAAGGGGGGTGTGGGAAGGGACTGAACATAAACTGTGCACCTATGGATGAGGACAATGGGGGGTGGGGAAAAGGCAGAGGGCGGGGTGGGAACCTGATGGAGGAGAGCAATGGAGGAGGGGAAAGATGAGGAACATTTGTAATAATATGAACAATAAAGATTTATTTTATTTTTTTTTAAAGTTGTACAGGATTAGGGTAGACCCTAAATTTAATATTTGGTGCCCTTATATGACAGGTACATGAAGAGGAAAGAAGGTGTTCTAAAGATAGGAGATCTCTCTGTCTGTCTCTCTCTCCTACTCCCTCACTCTCCTCCTTATTCCCCCAGGCGAGTTTTCTTTGCTTTCTTTCTTCTAAGCTCCAAGGGCCCTTCTTTGGCCTCTGTGACTTGTTTCCCAAGCCCACACAGCCCAGCTGACTCACCTCTTCCATGGCTCAGTTCTTCTCCCTCTGTAACTTTCTAAATAAATTTTTGCTTGTAAAAGCAAATAAAATAATACATCTACTAACCAAAGAACTCCAGAGGTTGCCAGCAACCTCCATAAGCAAGGAGAGAAACAGAGAACAGAGTATACAGAAGGAACCAAACCTGTCGACACCTTGACCTCAGATTCTTAGCCTCCAGAACTACAAAAGGATAAATTTCTGTTGTTAGAAGCCGCCCACTTTGCAGTGATTTGCTTCAGCAGTCCTGGGATACTATTAAACCAACCAATGTAAAAAATAAAAGAAAATTTATCTGAAATAAAATCTAAGGAAAAGCAAATCATGTTCCAGGAAAATGGCAAACAAACCACCTAATACCTTGACAGATGCCAATTAAGCTACTGAATTACAAGAAAAGAAAGAAATCTGGGCCTCCATTTTCAACATAAAAAATAAGAAAAAGAAAATCAATAAAGGCTATAGAAGATTTAACAGTGTAACTACCAAGCTTGATATGATGAACATATTCACACATCAGAAAACTATATGTTCTTTTCAAATACACATTTATGAAAACATATGGTGTTATATTGTAAATCAGTGAGTGGAACATAGGACACTTTGGAACATAGGACACCTTAATGAGCCAATTAGTTAGGAGTCTTTATTACATGCGGGTTTAGAACAGAATATCTCTGTCAAATTCTGAGCAAAAATCATGGAGGAAGCTTTCCCTATTTATATGCTTCCAGTTCTTTGTCTCTTACAGTTTCTTGGTTCCGGACATTCTGCAGACTTTACAAAGAACTTTGTGTAAGTTATTTTTTGCAGACAGCTTATAACCTTGAGAATAGTACATAACTAATAGGGAGTAGTATCAGCCCCTTACATCAGATGGCTAGCCTTCAAGGTCAGACAGCTAACTTTATCTTTCCTATTACTCATTTAAGCTAAAAAAAAAAATAATAATAATAACAGTTAATTTACAGAATAAGGGACTGTCTAAAAAATAACTGAGTTGACTACATAGAACAAGGGATCATTTAAAAACAGCAGAAAATTTTAAACAATGATTTTACAAAATAGAGATTCTTATGCTTCAACAGGAACACAATGCTAGTACCAAAAAATCTGATGGCTTGGCTGATGTGGCTCATTGGAGGAGTTACAACCCAAGAATCCAGAGATTAAGGATCCACTCCCTGTCAGGGCACATGCCCAGGTTGTGGCTTGATCCCCGAAAGGGCTCATGCAAGAGGCAAACAATCAATGATGTCTCTCTCTCACTGAAGTTTCTCTCTCTCTATCCCTCCCCCTTCCTCTCTCTCTAAAAATCAACAGAAACATATTTTTAAAAAGCTGATCAACAGTATTTATAAGCATCATTAGTGGTAAAATAAGTGCAATATACCATGTTCCAGAAAAGGAGTACCCACCCACCTGGCATGGCTCAGTGATTGAACATGGACCTATGAACCAGAAGGTCACAGTTCAACTCCCTATCTGGGCACTCTCTCATTTTTGATGCTCCTATCATTCTCTCCCTCTCCCTTCCTCTTTAAATCAATAAAAGTATATTTAAAAAGAAAAAAGAGTACCCAAAATCCAATATTCTAAATATCAATTTTCTACCAAATTGAGCTTTGCATTTAATGTAATCCCAAACTAAATCCCAACAGGGTTTAGGGGAAATTGGGAAAACTGATTAAAAATTTTATACAATAATACAGAGACAAAAAAAAAAAAAAGTCTTCTTATTCCTAATGAATAACGTAAGCCCTAGCCAAGAAGCTCAGTTGATCAGAGCATCATCTCGATACCCCAAGATATATAGCCAGTCAAGGTACATACAAGAAACAACCAATGAATGCATAAATAAGTGGGACAACAAACTGATCTTTCTCTTTCTCTCTCTTCCTCTTCCCCCTTATTCCCCTCTTTCTTGTTCTCACTCTTTCTCCCCATTCCTCCCTCTCTCTAAAAAAAAAATAATAATAATAATCAATAATTATTTTTAAAAAGAATAAGAGGACTTATCCCACTAGATTCCAAGATTTATAAAAATATAATAATTAAGACAGTGTGGTAATCATAGGAGAATCAACAAGTATACCAATGAAACAGATCAGAGAGCCCAGAAACAAGCACACGTAAGTGAAAACTGATGATGGCTGGCACTGCAGATCAGATACCCTCATCAATATATGCATATGCTCTTGGGACAACTGATTATCCATATGAAAAAAAAATGGATCCCTCCCCACACTACACACAAAATCAACTGCAGAAGGATATAGGGCCTACATGAGAAAGGGAAAACTTCTAAAAGAAAATACAAGGAAGGCCTCAGTCTTCCTCCCCTCTCCCTTCTTCCCTCTCCCCTCTCCCCTCTCTCCTCTCCCCTCTCCCCTCTCCCCTCTCCCCTCTCCCCTCTGCCTTCTGCCTTCCCCTCCTTCCTCTTTCCCTCCCTTCTGCCTTCTGCCTTCCCCTCCTTCCTCTTTCCCTCCCTCTCCCTCCCTCTCCCTCCCTCCCTTCCCCTCCCTCCCCTTCCCCCTCCCCTCTCTCCTCCTTTCCTTCCCCCTTTGTTTCCTTTCTCTTGAGCTCCAAGGGTCCTTCTTTTGCTTCTGTAACTTGCTTTCCTTAGCCCAAAAAAATAAAATAAATAAATAAATAAATAAATAAATAAATAAATAAATAAGAAAATACAGGAAAAGATACAATTCTTCAAGCATCTTCAAGCATTAAGGATCATATTTGTCTCACACAACTTTTAATACCAGAAGACGATGGAGTAATGCTTTCAGAATTCTGGACAAAGAGAGTATGAATCATATATATATATATATATATATATATATATATATATATATATATATATTTTGCATCCCAGCTGGATTGGCTCAGAGGATAGACTAAAGGGTCCCAGGTTTGATTCCGGTCAAGGACCCATACCTTGGCTGCAGGCTCCTCCCGACCCTGGGCTCTGGTCAGGGCATGTGCAGGAGTCAAACCAATCGATATGTTTCTCTCACATCAATGTTTCTCTCTGTCTTTCCCTCTCTCTTCCACTCTCTCTAAAAGATCATGGAAAAATATCCTCAGGTGAGAATTAACAACAAAAAATACACAAATATATATATTTTGCAAGACAAGCTGTCATAATAGATAGACATCCTCGAAAATTAAAATTCAGGGAACCTAGAACCTAGCAGAAAACCATCTTACCAAAATTATTTAACAATGAAATACAGAAAACTGAAACCTGACTCAAAGAAAGAGTTCATGAGTGAGCATGCCATGATAAAAGTACTGATGGTGAGTTAAGTACTGAATTAATTTACTTACTGAATTCAATTACAAACAATTACAGAAATCTAAGATTGGAGAACAGTATGTTAAGTGTTCAAACATGAGCTATGAAAAAAACAGCAATTTAACAACAATCCAGTCTTAAGAATGAGGAGATGGGAAGATGTGAGTGTTGAATTCTTTCAGACAAAAACAAACAGAATCGTCTAACATTAAAACCAAAGTGGAAATGTTGTTTTTAATAATTAGCACAAATGTTCAGGATTGGTACTATCTAACGCTGACAAAGACACTTGAAAATGGACCCTCTTCCCACACTGTTAGTGGGAGAGTGAATAGGTATAAAATCTAAGTAGGCAATTTGGTGAGATGTATATAAATTTTGAATACATGCTTATTAAATACACAATTCCTAATCTATCTCCAAAATCTGTATGAATTTGCCTTCTCCCCAGCCTACTTTGGCTAAGCGCAAAGACTCTGGCAAAGCCACCACAAAAACCAATCAGAGACAAAAGGTGAATGAAAGGAATAAATTATCTCTATCACTCATTCTTTCTCTTCTTTTGGTTTACATTATTAACTCTTTTTTAATGAATTTTCCTACATTTAATCAATCAATATTACAAAGTGTCCATGTTACATACCACCTCATAACATCCAGGAGTATCTATAAAAGAGGGGATTGTTAGCTTCTTGAAGGCAGAATCCAGATCTTATTTTCATGCAAAAGTCTATAGAATGTAATGTAGTTATCAATTACAAGGTAGTTTTAAGGTGCATCAATTTATTTTAACAATTCTATGGGGGGGGGGGGGAATTACCCAAAGGAAATAGGTTATTACGCAACTTTGTTGGTTACATGTTATGACACTCCAGATAGAAGAACTGGGCTCAAAATTTAAATATGCTTACCCCTAGCTCAAGGTTGTTTATAACACTGCTTTTGAAATAACCTGGTTCATTTGACTATACCTGTTAGCCAAACTGTGCAACCACGAAAGCCACCTCTGGTCCCCACCACCTGGCCTCTTTTGTTCCTGCTGACATGATGAGCTTGATAGGTGACATTAGTTGCTCTCTGCATCCCCTGGAAAAAGGAAGGGGGGAGGGGGGGGAGAATTCTTGTTCACTTGAATTGTTTAAAAGATAAGCATATGGATTTTGTAAAGGAACATCTTTTCATCCAGCTCTTCAACTTCCAGAGATAGTCTTTTCTAAAATCTGCCTGAGAGGTGCCTAAGGTTCAAGATCTCTTTCCACATCTCCCGTTCCCAATACCCTGCAGTATACAGGAGGGGAAGGCATCTCTGCCCATCCGAGTCTTGCTATCATTCATTGCCCACATACACAGTTGGACAATTCTTTTAATAGGCACACCATAAACATCACCCCGACCCATCCCCACTGATCACCTCATTAATAGATGTATTTACAATATCCTATATAATAAAAGGGTAATACGCAAATAGACTGAATGGCAGAACAACCAAACAACCAAAGTGTAATACGATAATGATACACTAAGGTTGCTCAAATGCTCGCTATGACGTGCACTGACCAGTAGGGGGCAGATGCTCTGACTGAGGGAGATGGGCCAGACACACCTCGGAGTCCTCCCACAGTCCCTCCCTAGACCAATTGTGCACCGGTAGGATCCTTCAGCCTGGCCTGCATCCTATCGCAATCCAGGACCCCTCAGGGATGTCGGAGAGCTGGTTTCAGCCTGATCCTACAGGCCATTTTCCTTGGGAGGGCCACAGATGTGGGGCTCATGGCTGGAGGCCACAGCTTCTCCCCATCAGGACTGTTTGGGCACAAGCCCAAGGCAGGCACAGTGGGGATAGGATGAGTGGGAGGGGCAGATAGGAGCTGCAGCCCGCGTTGACTTAGGGGTTTCGGCCCAATCCCTGCAGGCCACCCAGAGGGACCCCTGACCTGTGCACAAATTCGTACACTGGGCCTCTAGTATATTTATTTGTTCAATAACCACTTATAAAAATTTTAATATGAGTCTCCCAACCCATTTCTTTCCAATAAGTTGATGAAGCAAACATAACTTTCCAGCTCTGCACTTCCAATGTCTTAAACAAAGTACAGGCTTCCAAACAGACATCTGCATCTCTCGGAAGCAGAGACACCTCCTCCTGTTTTAGCTCCCAGGCAGGCTGCCTGAGGAGGAGAAGACAGGAAATGGGGGAAGCAACAAGGAGGGTGCCTACAAGTTAGTTTCCTATAGTTGCAAAACAGGTTTAACTAGGTCATTTTGTTTGGGGAAATTTTTCCAAGTGCTTTGGGGCAAAAAGAAACATGTATCTGGATGAATTTTAATTCATTTTAGTCCTATACCATGTCTTCTGCTTTCCTTAGTAAATTGAGTAGAATGTATAAAAAATATCTGACGAGCAATAATCTACTGAAGATATGGCTGAGAGAAAAATATAGATAAGCAGAGATCTTTTGCTTTAATCACTAGAAAAGAATGCTCCTACATTTAAAAAAAAAAAAAAAAAAAAAAAAACATCAGGCAGCAAATATGGCAGTCTGGGTATGAGAAGGCTTATTGTTTAAGTATGTTTGGTACTTTCCAATAAAAAAATAAACTTTAAAAAAAGGATGTGCCACATTTTCCTTCCTTCTGGTTTTTTAGAATAAATCAAAAAGCATTTTTTAAAACAACTGAAACTGCAAGGTCCTGAAAAATATGCTTGAACTTCATAAAAGCACTAAAGGCCACTTCCATGTGCAGTCATCTTCTCGCTCCCCTCCCCCTTTCTTTTCCTTCTCCACCCATTCTAAATAAATCCTTCCTATAATTCTAACAGAAAAATATAACATGAGTGACTCACTAAGGACCAAGAGTGAGTTAAGTTAGCATTTCCTTTTGACTCTACATTCCTAGTCTTTGTCTTCAATGGCTTAGCTACGTGTTATAGACCCTGTAACATGTACTACCTGCGTCATTATTTATTTATAGACCCTTTAATACTTTTAGATGTCTTTTTGTGCATATATTTTGACTTGCTTGAGGAGACAGATTGGACCCCTGAGTGACATATGGTCCTTGGTTTTTTTCCACAATGCCCATCCTCTCTTCTTGTGCCTAGCCAGTGTTCAGTAAAAGTTAGATACAAGGCGTTTATTTTACAGCATGTTTTCTTTTCTCTGCATAACATGCAAATGAATCTTAAATCCAGTAGAACTAGGCAATTCATTTTCAAAGAATTCACGACTAAATGACTATCAGTCCTGTTGCCGGCCTAGACAGAGTCACATGGCCTCTGATATTCCACTGTACCTTTGCTACACATTCTACAGACTGCTGTCCTCATCACACACACAAGTGGCCCTGTGCTCCTTTCTGACCCACCTTAATTTCCACGTGAGCTGTTTTGTTATTTTAGCCACTCCCTATGGGGCAAACTAAGTTTTCCTACCATGGCATATAGAGACTTTCATGCTTTGTGACTTTATTATGATTTTATAAAAAGCCCCACATTAAGTGAAATTTGTAAAGGCCCAGAGCATATACCAAATATCAAGAATAATTCAGGACCTGCATTTCTCTCACTCATCCCACAATCTACCTTAAACTGACTGCTAAAGAGAATTCCTGCAATGGTAACAGGCACATTCCTTTTATGTGCGAAGACATAATTTGGATGACACTGAAGAGATAATAATATACAATAAGAAGAAACCCTTAGTTCACAGAGTTATTGATGACTGAAACCTTTAGTTTGGTTACTGATAACTGAAATTAGTTTTTGAATGATACCACGCCAAACAGCAAAAGTGGAGACCATACATTCCTGAAGGTTGAGAAAACTTGAGATGGCTACACTTAAGCCTTGCGTGAGTAGCAACACAGATTGCATGGCAGGAAGCAGATCTCTGGCCCTAACCCAAACCTCCAAATGACCAGCATGTTTATATGATCACCATCAACTGTTATGCATGCTATTGCACATATATTTTGTCTCCACAACTTTTGTTTTAAGATTTAAAATATTTAAATATTTACTTAATAGACCATATATATATATATATATACCTTCCTTCAATGGAAGGGCCCTGGACAACCTCCAGGTGGGGAGTCCAGCCCTAAAAGATTCCTAGAAGTCAGAAATGAGTCTGGAATTATACCTGTTCATTCATTCAGTATTGTTGATTGATCCCTTCGAGATACTGGGGATAAAAGAGGACAAACATTTCAGGGAAGGGCACCAACTACGAACAGATAAAGAAATCATGACACGGTGACAGACCCTTGCCTCAACCATGAAGACAGCAGGACAGTCCCCACACACATGAAGGGATTTCAGACGCTGGCAGCCAACAGCTCACTAACTTCTACCAGAAAGGTTGAAATTAACTATTACAACCATGAGTGCACAGAAAAACTAATACACAGTTGCGCACAGCAGCATTATTTGTAATAGCCTCAGGTAGAAAGAACTCAAATGAACAAAAGGTGGTATATCCATATAATGGAAAATTCATTAGGAGTGAATTACCGATACATAGTACAACGTGAGTTAACCTTGAAAACAGTATGTTAAGTGAAAGAAAACACACACAAAAGGCTACATTTATTTATTATTTCATTTATAGGAATCTAGAACAAGGAAACCCAAAGACACAAGTGTAATACATCCAAGTGTATTATTGGATGTCAGGGGCTGGAGGTGGGAGGGAGCAGAAAGGTAGGGAATGATTAATGGGTATAAGGTTTCCATTAGGGGTGATGAAAATATTCTCAATTTATATATTGGTGATGGTTGCACAACTCTGTGAACATACAAAGACACAATGAATTGTACACTTAGCACAAAAGAGAGATAAAGACAAAGGGAAGGGATGCAAACTTCAAAGAGAGAATAAGAGAAAGCAACCTAATGACTGCATTCTTCTGAAGTTAGAAAATGAACTTCTATAAAATAATGTCTAATATTTCACTAGTTTGACTCACTTAAAACTTATCTGGTAAAGAACTGTGTCCTCAGGAAAGGATTTTTCACTAAAATGTTTACCTCTTAGGTAAGTAACAGAAAGAAGTATTATACTCTTCATTTGAAGTAATTACTTAGTAATGTGTTTTTAAAATAATTCAGGGTTGGAATTTTATTGTTGGTATGCTATGGGTAATTGATCCAACTCAGAGTAAGAGATGGTAACTTCCAAGTGGGTGAAAAAAAGAATTCTAGTATCAATTGGATTCTTATTTTAAATTACTACTTTTGCATTTAAGTTTTACATAACTTAAATTACCCTTTTTCGAAGTCAAAGCCAAGAGTAAAGCAGACTTTCTCAACTTCATAAATAATAATTTTCTGGCCCAGATAATCTACTGTTGGAGCTATCATGTGTATGTAGAATGTTTAGCAGCATCCCAAGCCTCTACTCACCAGATGCGCAGGGGTACACACACACACACACACACACACACACACACACACACACACACACAGTGTAACAACCAAATATGTCTCCAGATATTGCAAAGTGTTCCCAGGGGGGGTGGCAAAATTTTATCTGGTTGAAAACCACTGGTAAAGACCTAAACCTCAAAATTCTATGTAACAAAGCCAGGCTGGGGAAGTTTATTTCACATTTCAAATTTAGAGAAGCAACTGTGCTAAGGGAGGGGCTAACAGTGCTGGGTACCCTGCGAGGAGCCAGAATTGCCTAAAATCCTGATAGAAGTCATTACCTCTTGAAATTTCCTTGCCCTGGTCAGAAAGTAAAGATAAGACCACGAATACGAGTATACTTAGGTAAGTAGGAAAAATGTTGGCATCCACCCCAAAGTGACTACCTAGACCTGCCCTGCTGTTCAGAGATGATGAAAATGGTCTATATTGCATGTCCAATACAGTGGTCAGTAGCTACATGAGGCAACGCTGCACTTGAAATGTGGCCAGGGAAACTAAGAAACAGAATTTTTTATTTTATAACTTTGGCTGAATTTAACTTGCCACAGGTGGCTAGAGGCTACCAGATTACAAGATACAGAGCTAGACCTTGCTATCATTCTTTTAGTGTTGTTGTGAGTCAACATTAAAGAGTACATTCTTTGTGCCCTAGGCAGTGTGGCCCAATGGATAGAGCATCAGCCTATGGACTGAAGGCCAGATTCGATTCTGGGCACAACCTTGGTTAGAGGCTCCAGGCCCTGGTCAAGGGCATGCAAGAAGCAACCAATCGATGTGTCTCTCTCACATCGGTGTTTCTTTCAGTTTCTCTCTTTCCCTGCCAATCTCTCTAAAAATCAATGGAAAAAAATATTGTCAGAAAAAAGAGAAGAAAAAAAAAAAAAAAAAAAAAAGAGTACATTCTTGGTAAAAAAAAAAAAAAAAAAAAAAAAAAAAAAACAGCTTTTCCTCTTTGGGCAACTATTCCTACAATATCTCCCTGGCTTCTGGAATGGGAAGATCAATATCTACCCGTGACAAGAGCGAGGCCCATGCTTCAAAGAATGACTTATACAAGCCTCTCAGTTGGCCTTCAATATGCTGTGTGTGCCATTTCTGCACTCCTGTCTCATTTTTGTGCTACTTCAGTCTCCCCCAAAATTCAGAACAGGCAGTTGGCCTTCTGTGAAAGGCACCTAGCAGTATTTGGGGAGAGAGCGGGGGGATGTTCAGAAAAGGTATAAGTAGCAACAAGGAAAATTATCTCCTTCATTTATTTGTTTCTTTTCAATTAACTGTCTCTCAAGTAGAATGTAATACCCATGACAGCAGAACCCCTTTCTGTTGTTTTACCACTGCATCCCAACCTGTGGAACAAGGCATGTCACAAGCATACCTCAAAGATATCTCGGGTTTGGTTCCAGGCTACCACAAAAAAAACAGTAACAGAAATGTCTGGTTTCGCAATGTACATAAAAATTATCTTTACACTACAATGCAGTCTACTTAGTGTGTGAAAGCATTATGTCTAAAAAAGAACCTGCATAACTAATTTAGAAATACATTATTGCTAAAAATGGTAACCATCAACTGAGTCTTCAGTGAGTGATAATCTTTCTGCTGAAGGAAGAAGGTCTTACCTCAATGTTGATGAAATCAGTATCTGTGAAGTGCAATATAATGAGGTATGCTTGTAATTCATTTAAACCTCACTATAATCCTGTCTGTTTTCCAAGGCTTCCACATCTGGAACTATGTCTAATTTCTCCATCACCCGGTCTTCCTGGAACACCAGTTTTATCATGTAATAGGAACATTAAAGGTGTATGAGTTCTTCAAATTTGTGTCGATCTCAATCCTGGAAATATGGTGGGTGTTCCCTACTGGGCAAAAAAAAAGACTTACAAGGCCCAGAAAATTAAAAATTCTAGCCTCATCAAAAATCTCCCAAAGAATGCCAGGCCAGTGTGGCTCAGCAGTTGAGCATCAACCTATGAACCAGGAGGTCACGGTTCCATTTCCGGTCAGGGCAGCACATGCTTGGGACCCATAGTATGGGGCATGCAGGAGGCAGCTGATCGATAATTCTTTCTCATCATTGACGTTCCTATCTCCTTCTCTCTCCCTCCCTTCCTCTCTGAAAACAATAAAAATATATATTTTTTAAATGTAATAATAAAATAAAATAAATTTTTTTTAAATCTCCTACAGAATCAAATCTTAACACTGGGAGCAAACATTAACAACTGCATAACCTAATCCTAGCCAGTTTGGATAACTGGATAGAGCATCAGCATGTGGACCAAAGAGTCCCAGGTTCGATTCTGGTCAAGGGCACATACCTTCGTTGCAGGTTCCTCCCTGGCCTGGGCCCTGGTTGGGATGTATACAGGAGGCAACCAATCGATGTGTTTCTCTCACATTGATGTTTCTCTCTGCCTTTCCCTCTCTCTTCCACTCTCCCTAAAAACCAGTGGGAAAATATCTTTGGGCGAGGATTAACAAAAACAACTGCATAACATACTCCCAGCTTATGGAATTTTATCTCCACTCCTCAACAAAAACTCTCCAGAGTAAACTGTTAGTTGGTTTTAGAATAAAAAATAATTCTTATTCCCAGCCCTTATTCACACAGCTCCCCTCTCCCTCAGAAATGTGGGCAGATTTCTCTTTTGTAAACCCTCCCCAAAACACCAAGGCTAAATTAATCTCTCCTCCAAATTGCAAAAAATAAATAAATAAATTTCAAAATGACAAACTTATCACCTGGCAAAGTCATTTACAACCCCAATCAGGCCATGAGCAACCAGAAATGCAAACAGCGCGTCCCTCATTTTTCATCTTTTCTATGTCTGGCACAGGTCTCTACAAAAAATATTCACTTATTTGGCAAATGGAATAGTAAATAAATGAGCAACAGATGGTGTAACTGAAATTACCTTTAAATACTTTAACGGAGTCCCCTATTACCCTAACCAGAAAATACTCAAGATTACAGGAGCAGAGTTGACAGTTTCATGACACTTCCTTGTACTTTTTCAAATGCATTATCTCCTTTACTCTTCTAAATAACCCTGTGAGGTACACACTGTCATACCCTTCTTTAGTCAGCTGAGGTTTAAAAGAAGTAGTTATTTTCAAGATCACACGCTAGTGAATGGCCAAGCTGGTGTCAGAGACACCAGGCCAGTAGTCCAGTAAGTGCTCTTTCCAATGTTCTAACTCGCCTTCCCTTAACACCTAAGGAAAAGACACTATCTACAAGGAGAAAGGAAGCAGGTGAGCCTCCTGGGCAAAGACAGACACGGAAAATGACTGGCTGTAGATGAGCATCTGCCTGAAACGATTTGCAAAGGCTGCCCGTAAACCTCATGGCTTCGTTGTGCTGTGAGATAAAAATGCCCACCTACACCTAAAACCAGCGCCTTTCCAAAGAGCCAGATGGGACACCATCTCCCCACCCCACCCAGAAGGGCACTAACGCGTTTGAATTAAAGGCTGTTTTTTTTTTTTTTTTTACCAAAAAAGAAGGAAGGAAGCAGCCGACCCTCAAAGCCAACTGGCAGTCGCTGCTAAACCTCATAACCCATTCCGTCTCCCCACACCTTGCTGTCTCCAGGAATTGAGTCTTAAAAACTCCCATGTAATGTTAGCCATTCCATTTTAACACCGAGCCACAAAGAAGCTCAGTTCAGCGAATTCTCAGCCCATGAATGGATACATTGTTGGGCACTCTCTCTGCACACTGGAGCGCAGACATGGAAAGACTTGGAAATGGACACACACACACACACACACACACACACGACCCTGGGTAACCGCGCTGGCGGAGCCAAGAGAAACCAGCCAGGAGCAGCACGGCCCGAGACGCCCGCCCACCCCGCCTCCTCTGCAGACCGTCACGCCACGCCAGGGGATGCAACCAGCTCGCTCCCCTCCGGAGGTGCCGGTTTCCGCAGCCGCCGGCTCTTCTCGGCAAAGACTTTTTTACGTCGAGGTCTCATCGGAGCCGAGGGACCGGGGAAGAAGAGGACGTTCTTCTCACGGAGGGGGAGTCGGACGCCACGCAGCCCCGACCCCCGCACCACCGGCCACCCCGGCTGCAAGGCGCCGCGGCCTCTGGTACCCATCCCCGGCGCCCCGGGGAGGATGCAAAGGGAGGCGGAAGGCAGGCAGGGGCTCCGGAACCAGCCTCCTCCGTCCCCACTCACCCAGTTCTGCACGTTGTTGCTCAGCTTGACTTTCTTGTACAGGCTCCCGGGCACCTCCATGGCCGCAGAGCGCGCGCGGGTGCCGGGATCTTCAGAGCCCGGAGGCCGACAGGAGCAGGGAGGGCCGGCGGGGCGGGGGCGAGGACGGGGGCGGGGGCGGGGCGGGAGGCGGGGCGGGGCGGGAGGCGGGGCGGGAGGCGGGGTCACCTAGCGCCGGCGCACGCGCGCCGCCGACGTGCGCTCGTGCTCGCGACTCCTGCCGCGCGCGCGCACGCGCATCAGCTGCCGCTCCTGCTGGTCCGGGGCAGAGGTACGCGGGGGCGGGGCGAAGCGGAAGGCGGGACAATGGAAGGTGGGGGCGTGGCTTCGAGCGCCCACGAGGCTCCTCCCTCTTCGTTCTCAGGAAGGGGCGGGGCCTGGGAAGAGAACCAAGGGGCGCCCAGCCCCGCCGGCCTGCCTTGCGCTGCGCCTGCGCGGGGGCCGGCCGGCCTCCGGGGGAATGGCTACTGGCTCTCTGGGGCCAATGCTCTTGGGAGAAGACATGGATGGGAAATCCTGCCCTTCTGGCTTTTCCTCCATACACCAGGCTACCAGCTTCGTGTCCACCAAGTCTGTGCCCTTGTTAGCCAAGACAAATTTAAAAATGGATTTTTTTTTTTTTTTTTTTTTTTTACCAGAACCGGTTTGGCTCTGTGGATAGAGCGTTGGTCTGTGGACTGAAGGATCCCAGGTTCGATTCCGGTCAAGGGCATGTACCTTGGTTGCGGGCACATCCCCGGTAGGGGATGTGCAAGATGCAGCTGGTCGATGTTTCTCTTTCATTGATGTTTCTAGCTCTCTATCTCTCTCCCTTCCTCTCTGTAAAAAATCAATAAAATATATTTTTTTAAATGGATTTTTCCATTCTTGCAAAGGGAAGGATTGGTTCACTGAACTTACTTAACAAAAGTTCCTCTTTACTTTAACCTTCTGCTCAACGTATGATTAAGTTTACAGAATTGATGCACCCTTTCTGGATATCCATAATTACTATCTCGACTGGGCTTAGAGATTATTTGCAAAGTGTCCTCCTTCCCCACCATCACGGAGAAAATCTAATGGCCTAAGCTGCTAAGAGAGTCAAACAGGCAGGAGGCTGGTAGGGTAGTGTGGCCTATGAACACTGTGCCTCGGTTCTCAGAGCTGCCACAAGTCACTAACTTCTGCTCAAGGCTGAGCCATTCTAGAGCAACTGCTGTATGGAAATGCTTGGACTCTCCTTCCTCCTTGTAATTTTTCCCTCCCTCATTTGCATACTGGAATTAACCATCCCTGTGAACCTATCTTTCATTTTCATGGAAGGATTATGCTGTGGTTTTTGCCTTTATAAACCTCGCCTTTCTTTGTTCTCTCCGGAGCAGTTTGGGTGCTCCCTAAATTTACATCTCTCAGATTCCAAAAAATAAATCGTTTTGTTTGTTGTTGTTGTTACAGCCTGAACCTCTTCTTTGGTTAACACCCACTTGGAAACCTCTCTTCACATCAGATTTCTGTACAGTACTTCTCACTGAGTAGGCTGAAAACATGCCTCTGTATTATTAGCTTCTCAGGAACTCCTTAGAGGACTGAAATGCAGGCTTAAGAGGGCTGCGTGTTACCAGCGGGTAGAATGCCCGGCGGTGGAGAACATTTTCAAATTCACCCGGTTATTGCAGGGCTAATCCATACGATGAGCTAGAGGGTGGGGGGAGCTTCCTCCATGAATTATCCCCTCTCCCATCGTCATTACTCTTAGGGCTTCCCCGCTGCTTGCCCTGGCACCAAGATAGTTATGTGAAGCTCTGCTCCCCCATAACCAAAACCCTCTCCCCTCAATACACACACCCCAATCTCTAAAACCTGAAGCTGCTACCTCTTGAGAGCTAGCAAATAAGTCCCCTGTTTATTTGCTAGACTGCCACTATCTCAAATTAGGCTTTTCCTGTATCCAACCTGAATCACAGCTAAGCCCCTTAACTGTACATCTTCCCACTGGTGCAGCTCTCTTCCACTCACAACGTTCTTAAAACTTCTGTCAGAGTGATCTTTCTAAAAGAGAAATTTGGTCTTGTTACTTGACCAATTACAATGTCTGTGGTTTCTTATAGCTTTTTCTACAGGATTCTTAATCAAGGATCTGTATGCAGAGTTGAATCTCAGTATAATTCTGAATTCTGCCAATGATATCAATGAGCTTGGAAGAGCATCCAAGCTTCAGATAATTGAACCAAAGACAAACATCATCTTTAAGTACCTCACTATATGTAAAACATTGTGTTAAAATTTTTGATATGTTAAAATAAATGAGTAGTGACTAATGGGAAGCAGCGCCAAACACCGTGTGTATTCTTTTCCCTAGATTCTTTCAGCATAATTATGAGGAGATTTATCTATGTTGCTGTGCCTATCAATAGTTCATTCCATTTTATTGATGATTAGTATTTCATTGTACCATGTCATGCTTTTGTTAAATTGACATGTGTTAAGTAAAGCATAGGATGCTGGATAGTGAGATGCTATTCAACAAGGGACCACAAGAGAAACAGAAATACAGAAGTTTATTACAACACAGCCCACCTTCAGGAGCTGCCTGGGAGGTCAGGCAGGGTGCAGACTGACAGTGATAGACCTGAAGCATATGCCTTTATTAGGCTCCGTTAATGGAGTGCTCTGGGTTCCCCAAGCTAGGGACACATTGTTCAAGTCAAGCTAACAAGAGCAGAGTTTTGAGAAGCTCCATAAGAATCACACCTAAAAGGCATGCAAAGGGAAAGTCTTGGAGGCAGGGGAAACTGTTGGTCACCAGAGCTGTCGAGAAAGTCATATCCAGAATTTATATTTGCCTGTGACTCAGCAAGCTACTATCTAGAACAGCGATTTTCAACCTTTTTCATCTCACAGCACACAGAAGCTAATTACTAAAAACTATGTGGTACACAAAAAATATATATAATTTGATCCATTTATCCTGGATGACCATGGTCTTTTTCTTTTTCTTTTCTTGTTTTTTCTTTCTTTTTTTTTTTTTTTTTTTTTTTTTATCTAAGGGAAAAGAGATCAGTGCCCCTGTCTAAGCAGTCAGGTATTGCATGTTTTGAAAATTCTTGAGGCACACTGGTTGAAAGTCCCTGATCTAGAGTATACAATTGCAAAAGGAGGCTAAGGCTCCCACAGGTACTTGGCAAAATGGATGCTGAAGCAGCAATATCATTGAGTAGCTTAGCTAAACTCAGCACATAGATATACTAGGATTTGTTTATTCATCTGTTGAAGGATATTTGAGTGACTTCAGTTTGGAGCTATTGCAAATAAAGTTGCCATGAACATTTACTAGCATATACAAGTCTTTGTGTGGAAATATGCTTTCCTTTCCCTCGGGTAATTACCTAGGAGGGGAAAGACTGGGCCTTTTGGCAGGTATATATTTAACTTTTGAAAACTTCCAAAACCATTCTCCAAAATGGTTTTACAAATCCTACCAGTAGTGCACAAGAATTGTAGTTGTTCCATATCCTTGCCAACAGTTGGTATGGTTGGTTTTTTTTGTTTTGTTTTGTTTTCATTTTAGTCACTGTAGTAGTATGCAATGGTACCACATTGTTGTTGTTGTTGCTATTGTTGTTGTTGTTGTTGTTGTGTGTGTGTGTGTATGTGTGTGTGTGGTTTATCTAATTGATTTCAAAGGGGGAAGAAAGAGGGATAAAACATCAATGATGACAATCATTGGTGGCTGCCTCCAATGGAGATTAAGCCTGAAACCCAGACATCACCCTGACCAGAAATTGTACCATGACGCTCAACCACTGAGCCATACCAGCTGGGCCCTCATTATAGTTTTAATTTGTTCTTCCCTAATGACAGTAATGCTAACACCTTTTCCTGTGCCTTTTGGCTCCTATGTATCTTTAAGTGCTGACCAGAACCTTTGTCCATTTTTTAAATGAGTTGTTTGTTCTCCTATTCCTGAGTTTTAAAATCCTCTATATATTCCCTGTCAAATATTTTATTTTTCATTTCTAGGTCAAAATGGGTCTTTTAAATATATAGATATATTTTCCCCTAGCCTAGTGGTCAACAAACTCATTAGTCAACAGAACCAAATATCAATAATACAACGATTGAAATTTCTTTTGAGAGCCACATTTTTTTAAACTTAAACTTCTTCTAACGCCACTTCTTCAAAATAGACTCACCCAGGCCATGGTATTTTGTGGAAGAGCCACACTCAAGGGGCCAAAGAGCGGCATGTGGCTCTCGAGCCACAGTTTGCCTACCACAGTCCCAGCCGGTTTGGATCAGGGACATTGGCCCGTGGTCTAAAGTGTCCACAGTTTTATTCCAGGCTCAATCCCAGCCCCAGTCAGGGCACATGTGGGAGGCAACCAATAGATGTTTCTCTTTCTCTCTCTTTCTCTGTCTCTTCCCCTCCCTTTCACTCTCCTCTTTCTCTTTCTGTCTCTCCCCCTCCCTTTCACTCTCTCTAAAAATCAATGAGAAAATATCCTCAGGTGAGGATTACAAAACATATATGTATATTATATGCCTCCATTTAACATGAAATCTTTCCCCTACCTGTTTGAATATATGGAACAAAACTCTTTTAATGTCTTTATCTACTAATTCTATTATCTGTGTTTACATCTCTTTGCATTGATTTTTTTTTTATTTTCATTATGAGCCATACCTTCCCTTCTTCCTCCTCTTTACCAGACCCTGATATTATTATATGAATTTTCACTTTGTTGAATGCTGCATTGTTTTATGTTTTTATAAATATTCTTGAACTTTATTCTGGGTCACAGTCAAGTTACTTGGAAACAGTTTAATCCTTTCAGGGTTTGATTTTAGCATCATTCGGTGACATCAGAATAACCATTCATCTATGACTAATTGTGTCCCACCACTCAGAACACCATTTTGACTGCTTTGCCCATGACCAAGGTTCTCCATTGGCTGGTGGGAGGAGCACAGTCTATTTTCTGCTGGTTATGAGCTCCAGGCATTTTTTCCCTCTGCTCCTTCTGTGTGTTTCTCTGTCCTCC